TATTTATTTTTAATGAAAGTGGATTTGAGACTTGCAGAAAGAGAGGGAGGGGGGCCGACAGGCTGAATAGCAGCTTTCCAAAGCGGAGGCCAGGGTATGCTGTGGCACTGTACGGTTTGTGACGGAAGGGGGTTTCCATTCAGACAGCATCAGTGTGACCCACTGTCTTCCCTGTCAGCCTTTCAGTCTAATTATGTTTGCTTAAATGATGTGTACTGTAGCTTCATCATCTTTTTACTTGATTTCTGTTTAGCCAGCTTTGATTGCAGTTTTGTGCAGCATCTTGATCATACTCTGTGTTAAAGCTTTAGGAAATCCCTTTGACAGATTTTAGTATTTGACCCAGTTGTAGCTCAATCTCAGTGCAGCAAATCAGGTATCAGATACACATGCTCTTCTGACTATTCCCCCACATGATGTCATTTTTTTTTTAAACACAGCTATTAAAATTTTGTTTTGCTTTCAGTGAACTCAGTCACATATGGACTGCGTATTTCTGTTTAGCTCATGCAGGATGCCTCAGAGGAAAGTTCATTACATCAAGGACGGGTTTAAGCAAAGCCAGATCTCCTATAATCCTGTGAGTCCACTCAGAGTCACCCTTTGCGTTGTTGATATGAGGTCATTCTTTCACGTTTTGCAAGAGTGTTGTTAAGTCAGAGGATCCAACCTGTGCTTCTAGCTGCAGGGGTTCTGATTCAGAATGGGTGTACCTTTATTCATGTTTGGTGTGTATGCTTAGGAAATTTGTACAAATAGTCAATGGTTTGGATATGCAGACCTGCAAGCGCCTATGACGTTATCCTTTGACTGTGTTCCTGTGGTGTCCCAGAGGCATCAGATTTCCACTAATGTATTCCTTAAATAGATAAGTTAAAAAACAATATATTCAAATATATTCAAGTTTTTTCTCATTAAACATCTCACATTTACTTTGCTGTTAATATAGTTTCATAAAAATCATTATGTCTTCACTTTAGACGTGAGATCAGTGTGTCAACTTCCCAGTGCTTTGGCCCTGCTGTTTTCTAGAAAGTTTTTCACGTCTGCGATCTGACATGTGGCATCTGTTTGTGGTCCTTTGTATTCACTGCTGTATAAGGCTTTGTAAAAGGCTTTCATTAGTAAACATAATCAGTGAGGAAAATGTGAAATGATGTGATGGAAATGGAAAAATGTCACGAAGAAGATATGAAAGATCTTGAAGCAAAACCGGAGCAAAACAAGAACTAAATGATTTGGGTTGGAACATGACGTATGAAATAGAAATGAGAGACTGTTAACTGTAAAAACGTGTCTTTGAAATTTTATATAAGGAACTGCCGCCACTGGTCTGCCTTAGTTTTTTCAGCCCATGTGTTTGTAACATAATCTACATGCTAATTATAACTGTATTTACTCAGGCCTCAGTGTTGTTGTTTTATCTGTCACTGAGAGTATTACACTGTTGTAAATTCCTAAAAAACAACCTCCAAGGGTCACTTCACATTCCACAGCCACTCTAAGGTTGCACTTATAAATCATTAAAAAACAAACAAAGTTTGAAGGCTACATTAACCTAAAAGTGTCTGTGGGTGACGGTCACACGTTGGTGGTAATGAGGTAACACTCGAAACTACTTAGAATTTTTTCTTCCCCATCACCTCATCAGTACTTCTTCACCAGAAAAACCCCGCAGACTGCAACCACTTAATAATGTGGTGATGATGTATGCTAAACTGTTTAAGGAGTGAGCTCTTTAAACTTGAGGGATCCTCAGTGTTTGGAGAAAATTCAGATAATAGAATTTTTTTTAAAAAAAACTTAAGTACTGATGTGTCAGACAGTAGATACTTTTATCTACATATAGTGTGATATAGTAAAAACAAGATGATGAGGTCATTGTGAAGAAACTTTCCAGCAATGACTTTCACAATTTAACATGAAGACTCTCCTTGATTCTGTTTCACACGCTGATGATGAAATTCTGCTACTAAATTAAAGGCTTCTCTCCAAACATGACTTTTGTTAGATTCACTTGTATGAGCTCTTCTAACATTTAGCCTGTGTGTTGTAAGATTTACCCAGCTTGGTTAAAACTTGTTTAAAACTTGTTTCAAGTGCCCAGTTCCCCAGTCATGGATTAGCTAGAACACAAAAACTTTTTATTTCTTTCTTTCTTTCTTTTTTTTTTTTTTACCTGGGATTAGGCTTAATCCACATCTTGGAAAGAAGCTAAAAAATAGTTTTGATGTAGAGATGAATCATTTAATTCAATTCAAGTCATTTCAATTAAATTCTGTGTTACTTATATGCCACTTAATCACAACAACAGCGGCCTCAAGGTGCTTTATAATATCTACAGTAATAGAGAGAAAACGTCAACAATCGAACAACCCCTATGAGCAAAAACTCTGTTTTAACAGGAAGAAAACCAGGTTAAGGGAAAGAGAAGCCATCTGCCGTGATCGGACACGGCAAGGCAGACTGTAGAAGAGAACCAGCGTTTAATAACTCTTATGATTAGACTTAGTAACAAATAATGTACCAACTATTTGGCAAGTGTAGCTGTTGTGTAGCTAACTTCTATCAGTTTGCTGAATATTAAACTAATTGAGAAGATTAAATAAACTAATTTCAAGTTACAGTGCACTAGGCTGTTAATGACACCAAACAAACCAACTTCCTTCATGAATGTTATATATAGAATTACATATATATATGTAGAAGAAATTAGCATTAAAACTGCACTTTTAGTAAATTCCACACTCTTTAAAAACATCATTAGTATAAACATTTGAGCACAGAAGCTGCAAAGACCTCAACTGTTCTTTAGCTTCATTTCTCTCTGTCATCCCATGAACATGGCGCACGTGGCAGCAGAGTAACGGCAGCTTGACCCGGTTACTCCTGGACCCCGTGGACCCGCTTCCTCTCCCCCCCAGGCAGACATGTGTTCTCTGTTTGGTTTGTGTTCACTCGAAGAGGACACGAGGCTAGCGCACACCATCGCACACACTCTTGAGCATGACTATGAGCTAATGCAGACTCGACACACACCCACAGACCTTATGTCAGGATAGGATGTGGAACCAGTGGTGTATTAATGCATTTGGTGTTTCTCAAACCTTTTTTTCTTTTTCTTTTTTCCATTGAGTGATTTCGTATTTCATCTTTTGTCCTTTATTTTTAATCGCTCAATCCACACTTTAGAGGGAGACCACGTCCTAAGTGTGAGGGGAGCAGCTGTCGCCTGTCACATGCGGGTTTAAAGAGGGTGTGTGTGTCTGTTGTGTCTGCATAGCAAGCAAATGGCCGCCACAGAGTCAGGGCGTGCAGAGCCACACGTCCGTTTCATCTCCGTCCAGCTGTCCTCTCTTCCTGTCTTCTTAATTTATTTGCAGGGCTGCACCTAAGAGAAATCTACACCTTAGAGAAAATGTGGCGCTAAAAATAATCGGGCAGCTTTTGTGTTTAACTTTACAATGATCTCCCATTCTCACAGCACTTGCTGCTTTAGGTTGTGTTTACATGTCCTTTCGAAGTCACGGTGTAATTTTTATGGCTCCTCTTTTTGTGACTGCTTAGTTGACGAATAAAGAAATGAAGCTGGTCGATTAACCTCGCAGCTGCCTCGTTCCCTGTGTCCATTACAGAGCCTATTTTCTATTTTCTCCTCTTTTGTTCTTAGGATACAAGTTGACTCTTATTCTCCTGTTAGTGGCAGACTCTAACTTTTGTTGTTTTTAACTTCAAAAGCAGAAACTGAAATATTTAACATACAAATAAGTCAGGATGGGGGCATATTTTATTGCTGTGTAGCTGGAAGGAGCTGAATTACTTTAAAAAGCCATAAATTAATTGCGGGGTCTCCCTTGCTGCAGCTCAAGGCCTCGACATGTGTTTACTTGTTTGTGTGTCTTCACTGCTGTTTTCCCAGGAGGGAGGAGTAGTCGACATATGGCTGTAGACGGAGGTTTTCATTGATTCTTTGATCTTCACTTTTCCCCTCTCTGTTTTTAGGTTTACTACCATTTAAAAGTAGTTCTGCTTAGAGGCTGATGCAGGTTTGCAGGTTTGCAGCCATGAGTCCTTTTTATAATGACCTGAATCATATGCAGTATTGCAGGGGCACAGTCAACGTTAATATTTCATCAGGTATTCTGGTGATTATTTCTCCACTAGTTTATCAGAAAGTTAAATAACGGAACAGCTGAATGAGTAAATTCTGTTTGCATGTGATTGATTATTCTTTGTCCAGCTCTCCTCCATGCGGTGCCCCTTCTTAGTCCTCCTGTATCTCATTAGCATTGTAAATCAGTGCAGTTGAGGAGTGCTGTCAAGGGGTCCACTCCCTCCAAAAATTTCTGCCACTAAAAGCAAAAAATGGACTAACAAGCACAGCCTCTGGGGAGCAAATGGCTCTCACGGGCTTGACCTTAGGTACTTAATTTCATGTCTCATGTTTAATCATTAAGCCTTTGAGTGGGTGGGTCGTTTGCACGGACAGGCGCCACATTACCTGAAGGAGTCGATAATAATACATCGAAGGCTACTTAATCGATTATTTTAGTCGATGAGTGTCGCAACAAGCAAGGACAGGGAGCGGCATTAAAAGTGGGGGTGTTGATGCTTGATTTTTCTGGTCATTTTAGTGGTCTCTGGTCTGAGGAACACCCAGAGCTTCACCCTCAGAGCTGCCAGTATGAATTATCGGCTGGTCTGTTTTCTTTATTGGCCATAACTCAATTCTCTCTCTTGTTTGCAAAACTGCCCCGAGCTCTGGAGGGCATCTGGCAGCAGCAAACTCGATGTTTGTGCATGAGACTAATGATTACCCTCAATCACCAGACCTCGCCCTTCTTTCCAGAGACAACCTCGTGTTGCTTGTTGCTCAAAAACCCTGAAATATTGCTACATTTTTCGTCTTTAGATAGGAGAAAAATCTATTTAACATCGGACTCCACCACTCTGTTTACATGTTCATTTATGTGTTTGCGTGTATGTGTGTTTTTTAACAGGTCGCAGGGGAACAGAAATATCACCCAGAATGCTTCACATGTCTGAACTGCCGATCGTTCATCGGTGATGGAGACACATACGCTCTGGTGGAGAGATCTAAACTGTACTGGTGAGCATCCGTCACTGTAAAGTTTAAACAAAAAAGCTGAGGCGCTTGCTTTATGTGTCACATCCATCATAGCCTGTGAAACTAGTACTCATGATCTTTCCCCAGTTTCATCCTCTGCCATAAGCTAATCCGCTCAGAATCCGTAGGAAAGCTCGAAAGTGTGCCATAAGCTGCTGTTGATTGACAAAATCTCAAATTTATTTCGCTTATTTCTGGCTTCAAAGGGCTTTTTGTTAACATTATGACAAACTGGTGACAACTGGCAGAAGACATGCTCATATCTGAGTGTGGTTTAAGCATGAAACAAGTCATAAAACCATTAAACTGGGAGAAGAATGCTTTTATTATCATATAAACAGTAGCTCCAGTTTGAATATCATATTGTTAGTTGCTAGCTTCCAATAGCTCCAGGATGGCTTTAATGTTCTTGTCACAAGTTTCAGACTGTATCTATCAAAGAATATCACGAGAGAGGCGGCTAATTGTATTCTGCAGCAACATAATGACATCGCAGTGTCCATAAAGACTTAGATTCAACAAGAACAGTGAGTCTGGGGTTACATGAGAGACAGAAGACACTGAGACAGCCTAAATCTACAGAACTATGGCACCTCCCCCACAATACCTTTGAATTACTCACCTTGAGAGCTTTTCTCAGATCATTACATTCAATGAGAGAGTCGCATGTTGCTGACTGACATGACACAGAAAGGATATCAGCAACAGCTTTACAGTTGGGGGGGCATCACCTCATAGGTTATTAGTCACTTCATAACATTCTGACTTATCAAAGGTCAGCCTGACTCAAAACAATGAGTGTACAGTGTTGTCTTGGCTGAGCCGAAGCATCATGTGACACTGTGAAAATTATTGTAATGAGAAGTTGATTTTTCATACAAACCTCACGAGGATTCCTATTATCTGTTTTATTACTGCTGTTCTCATTTTTAGAAAAATAAATAAAATAAAAATAAATTCTATTTTTAATCTCTACTTCTGTTCCTCTCTGGCTCCAGTGGTCACTGCTACTACCAGACCGTCGTGACCCCGGTGTCGCTACCGGACTCGCCATGCTCACGGATCCCTCACACGGTCACACTGGTGTCCATCCCGGCCTCCGCTGATGGCAACAATGGACGCAAAGGGCGCGGTTTCTCCGTGGCGATTGACCAGCCACTAAGCCCGACCAATGGCTACAGTCCCGAACATGGACACACCGTCAGAGTCTCCCAGTGAGCCACGTTTGTGTTTTGTGGATAAAATGAATATCGTGTTTCAGTTTGTGGAATGTAGAGCAAGTGGAAAATGAAGAGGAAAGGCGGAATGAGTTAAGAGATGCAGCATTAGGGAAGGTTAATGGTGGAGGACAAAGGATAAAGGAGGGGGATTTATAAATGGAGGCCAGAGTGATAGATGAGATTCATTTAAAATGTATAATAGAGTGGAAGGATAGTCACTGTTATTCAAATGAGCTCAGACTTATCTGCTCTCTGGACAATACTAAAAGAAAAATGTCCCCTGTGTGTACAAAGGTGTTTAAGGAGATTTCTTTTTGTTTCCAGGGTGGATGCCGACTGCATCAGCCCAGATGTGAAAAATTCCATTCACGTTGGAGACCGGATCTTAGAAATTAATGGGACGCCCATTCACAACGTTCCTCTGGATGAGGTATTCATCACTATTTTTATGTGTTTGCTGCTAAAAGATGATGCTTTAGTTTCACTCAGGCGGTTCTCTGTGTTCCTATTGTTTTGGAGGAAAATGGGATGATATCCATCTTCAGCTTTTGAGGATTTCCAGTGGCAAGATGAGACTTAATAATATAAGTAGCTGTTTAAATAAATAAATGTTTCAGTAAATTCATAAGGGAAGTTACTGAAACATGAGTGCTTCATCTAACCCTGAACTTATAAGCAAATCCAACCAGAGCACTTCAATGAGCCGATATATCCTTTTAAGTTTTGAAATGCATTAGTGCCGTTCACTTTTTGATCTGACCATCCTGTCTGATCTGTCTCTTCTTCTCCAGATTGACCTGCTGATCCAGGAAACGAGCCGGCTGCTGCAGCTCACCATCGAACACGACCCTCACAGCCAGTCGGGACAGGAGGGAGGCTCCTCGGAGGCTGAGGACCAGGTGGACGGTCCGTTGTCCACCCCACTGTCAGAAGGGCCCAGCCCCATCCTACCCATCACCCAGCCTCCCAATCCAGACATCAGCAACCTGAAATCCCGCATCATCACGTAAGACATCAATGCAGCAGCTAATATACTTTTATCACAGTTTGCTACAAAGAGTAAATGTATGTTCTCATCTTCCCATTAATAAAGTGTGAACACCTTCCTTCATGAAAAGGTTGATTTCTTTGTTTTCCTCTCTTTTAGGCGAAGTTACAGCACTGATAAGTCGCCTGGATCCAGCAATGCCGCGTCACCAATCTCCCAGAGGAAGGACATCAATCGGTCTGAGTCACTTCGGGTCGTCTCAAACCGGACTCACCGTATCTTCCGCCCATCTGACCTCATCCACGGAGAAGTGCTGGGGAAGGGATGCTTTGGACAAGCCATAAAGGTAGATTTGAGTTGGCAGAGACTCCTTAGACTCATTAGTTGCATGCTACATTGTAAATGTAGCATGCAACGAGTCATACTGAAAAAAATCCAGAAGGGGGAAGCATTGAGATGAAAGAAGTGTATAGTGGAAGGCGGATGGAATGACTGGGGATTTATCACATCAGGGAATTTTTCTTTTTTAAGTTTTGTCTCTTAACATTGCTTCAGTCAGTGTTGCTTAACTTGATTTGTGCATTGTGTCTTGTTAAAGGTGACACACAGAGAGACGGGTGAGGTGATGGTGATGAAAGAGCTGATCCGCTTTGATGACGAGACTCAAAAAACATTCCTCAAAGAGGTGAGTGGAGACAGACAATCTCAGAGACTTCAGACTGTGAATGAAACATAACACAGAGCAGCTTGTGCACCAAAGTTATTGTTGTTTTTTCTTCTATAAGCCAAAGCTAAAGATTGTAGTTAAAGTGAGCCATTCCTGAATGTAGGAAAGGGGTAAATGAAAAAGGCAGACGTCTCACACCTGAAGAGAAAATGGAATTAAAAAGGCATAAACTCCCCTTTGAAATAATATCAGTTCACTATGCTCACATAGTCCTGTCTCCCAAAAATGATGGCTGGGCAGATTTTATTTTACCGCCCACATTAAACTTTATCTCTCTGCCGACCTCCCTAAAGAGAGCCGATAGCAGAGGATGACTCAGGTTCAGATTTCTGTGAGGCTTTTTGGGGTTTGAGGATCTGAATCACTCCTCGTGTTCCTGTTTGGCGCTAGATTAGCCTCATTCATCCAGTTAACTGCCTCCTAAATGGGATGTTTGAAGCTCAGAAAAATGGTTCCACTTTAGTTGTGGATTATGAGTGGGTATTTAGCTTTATTATTGGGTTGAAACAGTGATGAGTCTTGTAATTAGAAAAGTGAGTAAAGAGATTCGCTGTAAAATGAGCCCCAGTCACAGCTAAGCAATGATTATTACTCGTGCTGGCTGCTTGTTTGTAGGTGGCCCAAGTCTTAAATTACTGAGTCTCGTGTAATCCTCATCGGTGAAGATTAGAAAAGAAGGAGGCAAACATTTCAGATGTCATGTGTAACAGTGGCGTGCTGCCTCCTCCATGTGACTTTAGTTTTACCAGTAGTGTAGTCACATTTGTAAAGTAGCAGAAGTAATTGCAAAAATATTAACACTGACTGTCATAATTTGTTCAGGTGATAGTTTTGTACTGTGAATATTTAAGATCCCTTACAGCTGCTGTGGACTTTTCCCAGAGATGTGTGAAAATAAATAATTATTTGTGTCTTTAAGGTGAAAGTCATGCGATGCCTGGATCACCCCAATGTGCTCAAGTTCATCGGAGTCCTCTACAAAGACAAGAGACTCAACTTCATCGCAGAGTACATCAAAGGAGGCACTTTGCGGGAAATCATCAAGAAAATGGTAAACAAATGGGGGGGTGTTTGTTTCCTATATGGAATTCCAATGCACAGACTAGCATGGTTATTATTAATAAGGATAATAATAAAAATAAAGAAGAAGGGATTCATCACTTTATACCAGTATGTTACATTAAGTTGTGTGTTTTGGTTTTTCCTATAGGACTCAAACTATCCCTGGAACCAGCGGGTCAGTTTTGCTAAGGACATCGCTGCTGGGATGGTGAGTGTATATACTGTTAATACACTCTGGAAAACAAACCAAGGTTTTTCTGCATGGAGAAAGTGGTTTAGATCATTATTATTGTTTTGCCACTGCATACACAAAAACACAGAACACGACACTGCCAGACTCTAAAACATACAGAGGGAAGTGAAGATGATGCGGTTGTATTGTCAATAACAAAACATAACCAAGATCATAACCTTATAAATAAAAATCAAATCCTGTTGAGCCAAGAGAAAAGTAGAGATCAGTGGTTGTGAGAGATAACCACCGCTTCCTGTTAGATGCACTCTGAATATCTGCTGTACACATACTTTTTGCTTTAGTCTTGCTGTTGTCTCCCTCTAGTGGTCATGTTTGTGAGCTACAACACTTGTGAGGTACTTTTCTTACTATAAAGGTTAAATCAGAGCATAAATTCCTGCAGGATAAGAACACAGGTTCTCTGGATTTCCCCCCAGATAGCTGTACAATGATGCATATCAAGCATGACTGTGTTATTGTATATTCAGCAAGAGCTTTTTGAAATAAACCCAGACAGTATTGTTCGACTTGGCAGTGTTCTACTTACAGATTATCAAAAGACTGTTTATTTATTTTTATTCTTGCTGCCTTTCCTTCCTCTCCTATCTGTCTGTCATTCAGGCATATCTGCACTCCATGAACATTATTCACCGGGACCTGAACTCTCACAACTGTCTAGTCCGAGAGGTAAGAACTTGTCTTCCTGTACACTTTTGTGTTTGTGCCGACATACCTCTGCACATACAGCATGTTTTCTTTAAGGATTTAGGACGGCGCACCTGCCATTCGCTCATACAAAAACAAAAAAGGCCTTTGTTCGCAGTTGCTATGGGAGACTAAGACGACTTAAAAAACACTCCACACAAGAAGCTTAAAGCAGAAACATTCAGCTTGCCGGACCTAAACAAGGGGAGTGCTGAACATGTGTCACATGACAACAAAATGTTTGCCTGACAGCCTGGAGATTAATTTTAAGCTCACTAGCGAAGCTTAAAGCTGATTCACCACAGATATATCCCTGAACACTATGTCTGTCTTTTTTTCAGAAGTGATGATGTTGATAGTGAAAAGAGTGAATCCAGAACTAGTAACTAGCAGGTTGACGCTTTTTTCAGACAGTGTTTATATACCCATTTCCTTTATGAAAAGTGAACAAGTCATTAAACCTGTCAGCCTGTGGTCTCACACACAAGCTGTCCCCTGCTCCCAGCAAGTGATTTCATTGCATCTGACATCATTTTATACTGTGAATGTCGTTAATGTGAATACTTTGTGTAGTAAAAATCACATTTAGTGACTTTTGGTGAGTATGCTTGTTGCATAAAAATAAAACGTTTTGGCATATTTCACTTTAAAGAACAACACAGTGGTGGTGGCAGACTTCGGGCTGGCTCGACTCATGGTGGACGACAAGAACGGGGAAAAGCTGACGCAGGGAAAGCTGTCTGGCATCAAGAGGCCCGACCGCCGGAAGAGATACACGGTGGTGGGAAACCCCTACTGGATGGCTCCAGAGATGATCCATGGTATGAACTACAGGAAGTGATCCATGTCCTTGCTTACCTGTGCTAATCACAAATATTTTATTGAGTATGAGATCACCAAAAATATTTTGTCTTTTTCCATCGCAGGGAAGAGCTACGATGAGAGAGTAGACATCTTTTCCTTTGGTATCATGCTCTGCGAGGTAAGCTATCCATCATCTGCTCTGGATATTTTGGATTCCTGAAGTTATTTTTTTTTCATGAATAAACCCGGAGATCTCAAATGTCTTCAGGGCCTCCAGATGATAAAACCAGTCTAAGGTGTTATTCTGTAATTAGAGGAAAAAGTTAACACTGTCAAACCTTTAATTTAGCCTCATATGAAACACACCATTACATTTTATGAGGGGAACAGTCTTCCTTCTCCCAAACTCCACATTTCTTAGAGGGGGAAAACTGCTTTCCGACTGAGCATCCAGCGCCACAGTGATGAAGGCTTGCAGCCTGGCCACACACCATCCACATAATTTGGGCTCAACAGTGTAGGAGCTCCAGTATGAGTTCTCCAGATGAACGTTATTATCCAGAGAACATTACAGGGATTAGAGGGCAGGAAAGCAAAGAAGTCTTCATGTGGCTGCTGACGGGCACACAAATGATGGTTGTGGTCTGCTGGCACCATGAGCTTCTGTTTGGGGGGTTTGCTGGTTTTCAGCTGGAGGGCTGACCAAGACTGGGGGAGACTTCTGACACTTCGATCTTTAACTCTTTTTGCTCTTTCTTGCTCTTTCCAGGTCATTGGCAGGGTGAATGCTGACCCCGACTACCTCCCCAGAGCGACGGACTTTGGACTGAACATCTCGGGTTTCCTGGAGCACTACTGTCCCACCAACTGTCCCCGCGCCTTCTTCCCCATGGCTGCTGTGTGCTGTGACCTCGATGCAGACAAACGGTCAGACACCGGATTCATTTTGACATGTAACCTAAAGGGACAGTTCACCAAGAGTTGGATTATCACAGGAGCCAACTTTTATTTAAAGAGGTTTTTCTGATACTAACCAACCAAAGAAAACTATTTTCTCGATCCTTTGAAACTGGCCTAAACTTCCAATTCTAACAACTTTGGTTAATTCAGCACATTAAAAGGATTAAACAAGCATAAATCCTTCACTGTGTTGTATGACTAACTCAAGTAAATGCCCGTCAGGTACCTGGATTTTTCAATTCTGAGCAAAAAAATCAAGTTTTATTGTGTTTTGAGGTGAACTGTCCCTTTAATTTATAACAAAAGAACTTGATAAATACAAATAAATTGGAGAGGTTTACAAACTGTGGTGTCCGTCTGCTTTCTTAATACACAGGCCTGCTTTCTCGAAACTGGAGGAGTGGCTGGAGAACCTAAAGATGCACTTGGACATCGGTCTGCCCCTGATGTCCGAAGTGGATCAGCTGCACAAGGCCTTCTGGGAGCACCACAGCATAACACGTCCTGAGAACGGCCTGCACACCCACCCCGAGCAGCCAGAGTAGACCCGAGCAAAACAGGGACAAGTGGGACGTTATCAGTAACCCCCACAGGGGTGGCGACCACCTTGCCTGGATTGGCGCAGCGGGCGGAGGAGTCATGTAAATACCCCTCCGTGTTTGCGGGAGCAGACTGGCTCAGGCTCAGTAAATAGACTCAGGGGGAAAAATGTCAAACTGAGAAAGCCACCTGCGCACACATATTGACTTTCAAAGTAAAATCAAGAGACATTAATTAGAATTGCTTGATTCTGCTGCACCTGAAGCTACAATGGAACACATCATATGCAATCAGACCCGACTTTCAAATCACAAATCAGCTCTCGAATCATGTAGGTTTAACTTTAGAGGTCATACCAGGTCAAGAATACTTGCTGTACTATTGTAGTGTGTATGTTCATGTGGAAATATAATCCCCCCGCCCCCACCCCTAAAAACAATGCATACAGCAGACCTTCACTTTAGGCATCTACAGAATATATTGTGCAGTAGGTGTTTGCAGGTTTGGTTTTGCTTTCTGTTTGGACGTCAAAGACGAGGGAGTGTGAGTGTGTGTGTATGTCTGTGTGTGTCGTTTAGAGGTTTAGATCGACTCATGAAGCAAACCCTTTCAAGCTTTAAATAGTTCACAGAAGAGCGCATGACTGTAAATAATGCTGTCAGGGCAAATCCTGGTTCTTCGTGTCCCTCTGACCTCATTTGGTCACAAACCACTAATCTACTTGTGTTGCTGCCCCTCTCCCCTATTTCTTGTGTAGCACTGACTTTCACATGGAGGTACACGCACCCCTTTTTGGCCTAGATTTGGTACGTTGTCTCTCAGTTTTAAGAGCCGTTGGCATATCTCATCCGCACCGACATTTAAAGACTTAGCAGTGTACATAACCTATGACAATGTAAATGTTTTAAATATAGTAAATGTACAGACATATTTTATATACGTACGCGACATTGCCATATTTTTATTGGCCGACCAGAAATGGAGAGTAGAGGTTTGACTGCAGTTAAAAAGGCACAGCCGAAAGGTTTTTTTCTTCCCCCCCCTCTTCTCTTTCTACATTTCCACCACTGTGGCAGGTTTGGGGCTTTTACTGTTCGACGTATGTGCAATCTTAATCCCTAAAACGTTATTTTAAACCCCGTAAATGTTACATTTTCGTCTTTTCTCTCTATCCGAAAAAGCAGCAGTCAACCTGCGAGCTTTTGTGTCGCCACAGATGTCCGCTGGAATAAACGTTAAAATAATACTGGATCAATCTAATCGCAGAGCAATCAAGCAGTTCTTAAGGGTTCCCTCTTCTCTCGTGTACTGTACAGTAGTTAAGGTACTGCCTCATTACGTCAGCTGTCTGTCTCACACCTCTGTCTCTTGTTTACATGTAAACGCCGGCTGTAAATATCACTGTATTCCTTCCATTGTCTGTGTGCATCCTCAGAAATAATCTCCTTTGCACCTTCTAACATGAGACATTTATATCTGTTTGTTTGTTTGTTTGTTTTTTTTAATCCTGCTGATGTTTTCACAAGCTGCATGATATTCTTGCTAGGTCTGCTCAGCTTCTGAACAGAGTTATTTTTGTCTTTATTTGAGATTTTAAAAAAAAACAATTATAAAAGAAAGACAAAAAGTGTAAACAGAGTAAGCCGGGGTTTTAAAAAGAGGAAAAAACAAAACACAGCATCCCTCTCTCTCTTTTTGTTTTTAATAGCTATATACCCACTGAAATCTTTTTGTACACATTTGAGTACTTTGATTTGCACTATATAACCAAGTGGCTATTTAAAGCCACGTTTGTTAATTTTTCTCTCTTGGGCTACTTGTGATAAGGAAATAATGTCAGTTCAGGTTGAAATATGAATGCAAGACACTGATAGAGCCTTTTAACTATAAAAAATGGGATCCGGGAAATTCATCCTCTCGATAGCAAACTGTACCGTGTTTGGAGCGTGCTTCTGATTTATTATGAAGATGCATTTACACGGTTAAACTTTAAATACTGTCTTTTGGCAGCAGATTCGTCAACCCCTCCTCTCATATATCTGAGGTAATATTGCTAATAGTTTCGTTTCAGCACCACTTTTTCTACCTAAATAAAGCTAAAGTTTCCAAGCTTTTGCTACCGTGAGGATGAGATGTCCCGGCTCTGCCTGCTGCCTACAGACCAGTCCTTTGCGAATGATGTTCTGTGTTGTTTCTGACTGCTTGTTCCATGTATGACGCCCACAGAGGATGCAACCACTGCTGGTCTTTCTGACAATAGAGCACTTCCTCACCTTTTCATTGTACTCTTTTTGGCTCAGGGCCGTAATATTCTGGAGGTTTTTCTTGATTCAGTTAATCCAGCAGCTTTGCAGAAAACCGCTCCTCAGCACCGACACTGAGAAAACATGTAAACTATGTCAGTATGTACGCTCGTAACACAAATACGCTTCTGTTAAGTGAGCTCCTCCCAGTTTATGTGTTCGTCCGTGGGCAAATTTTCTTTCTCCATCCCTGTCTGAGCCATGTTGAGCATGTTAGGCGTGTCTGTGAGGAAGTGTTGATGATCGCCGAGAATGTCGCCGCAGCACTTCTTTGCAAAGGATCGTTACCTCTGAACAATGCTGTGCCTTTGTTGTAAGCTAGCCTTGCCAACGATTTGAAAACATGAACTGATTTCCCTTTTTTTAATGTATCATAAGTGCAAGCCTGATTCAAGTGGGTTGATTATCGTTGCTGAAACCACGTTGTATGAGATTTCATCTTGTTCTGTAACGTATTTATATTTTCCAGATCTCCATTGTTAGTTTTGATATTTTCATATTTCTTTTTTGTCTTATTTAATTTTTTTCTTTCTTTCTTTCTTTCTTTCTTTTTTTTTTTACACAAGCTGTGAAAACAATTCTGCACTTTAATCCTGAACGTTTAGACTCTGAGGAGGCAACTTTTTTTTTTCCATTTTGTCACAGCTACAAATAAAACTGTTGCTCCTTAAAATAAACCAGGTGTCTGTTCTTCTTACACAATACTATGCAACAGTCTGGAGGCAGCCTTTGTTTCTTTATATGGTGCGAGGAAAATGGGAAATGTTTGCAGCAGTTTAATGAAATATGCAGACATGCATAGAAATACTGTATATAAGGCAACAACAGAGATCCAAGCTTGAAAGTCAATATTTGTCTTGACCACTTTTATTCTCCAACACGGCATGAACAGGTAGCTTTCTTGTCATTTGTTTAAGCAGTCTTCAGGACTAGTTCTGGTTCCTCTGAAGTGATGTATATAAAAAATGATGTGTCACTTAAGGCTTTTGTGCAGTATTATATCTATATTCACTCTGCGATTAACCTCCTTCCACTACTGAAGCACCAGTGAGCTCTAAATATGGTTGTTCCGATGACATGTGCTTATCTCGGAGAGCAGTATCAGCACTAGCAGCAGAGAAACTGTGTAGGCAACATTAAAGTGATAAAAATAGTGTTTGTTTCAACTTGGGATGATGGAGGGAGTGAGTATTTTAAAAAAAGTGTTTACAAAGCAACCACCAGATGTCACCATGTGTCTCTTATTATATCCGCTCATCATTTAGATTCATTTACAGTTAGCAGTATACACCTGTCACTACTACTGTTAAAAACAATAAACAAACACAGCATGAGTGGAAGACATGTTTACAGCTTTTTCTTAAATTAAAGCGCACAGTTTAAAGATAATTGTATTAAATCAGAAACAGTCCAGCTAAAAGCAAATCTACTCTTGTAGTACTGCTGAAGTCTTATTATTTAAGCATGAATTTCAGTGTTGAGTTTTGGAGGTGCAGTTTTCAGATTCTAAAATGAGAGTATGTAAGTAAGAAATTAGTGAGAAATGCAGTTATAACAGCTTCAACGAGGTGTCACCCTCAAGTGTGTTGCTTTGTCACATCAACACTTTTCACAGATCTTCAGCTGACTCCAATCTCAGATGATACAAACTGCAGATCTTCATGTCTGAGAACCATGAAAGAGTTGAAGTTGTATCCTGCTTTATTCCCTTACTTGGAGTCACGGTTTTCATTTTTAATTATAAAGAGAAGATTCACAGTCAGATTCTTAAGTGGTCTAATGGGCTGATTAGTGTACATCAAACAGTTGCAAGGGTTGGATGTGCAGAACAAAGTTTAAAAACAGCTTTACTCCAGCAGCCATCACTCAGATGAACAAATTGTAGCCTTTTTACTTTGTGGGTTACTGAATGCTCAAAATGATTTAGTTCTTTTTTTTTTTTCAATCTTTTTGTACTATGCTTATGTTGTCTGCTGTGTGTTGAAACTGTGCATGTGAGGATTGATGACTCAGGATTACAGAACAAATCTACCTATGGATACAAATAAAGTAACCTGAACCTTTTTATACATCAAAATCAATTAATTATAGATTGGCACTAACTAATAAATACACATGTAAAAGCTCAAATTTTAGGCTGGTTAGACGAATGTTTCAGCCTAAGCTGGCAAAGCATCTTATGGGTGGAAACAGCATCTAGCTACTGAAAATAATAATATTTAAAATAAGTAAATTTCCCCCAAAAATTTAAGTGCAATATTTTGGTGAACATCTTGAATCAAAGCCGGATGTCTACACTTCAATCACATCATGTCAAATATTTTGCGAAACTGAACCGCGTCACCGTCATATGTTTACAATACTTTTGTTCGATTGTAGAATTTTGATAGACGGAAATGACCCCCAACTAATCACCGCCTCCTCCCTCAAAAAGAAATACTAAATAAAGTAAAAACTAAATTAAAAAAACGGAGTTTAGCGTTGTCGTTATTTGTGACGCTCCAACGTTCACACACACCTGTGTTTACCTGTCCTCCTCCGATGCTAACAGCTTCCCCGGAGTGCTGCAGTTTATTCCTCTGAGACGCACGTGACCGTTCTTCCCGACGCGCATCCACGTGCGATTGTTTTCATTCCGACGATGCTGCGGCAACCGCGGCTGCTCTCTGACGTCACCGAGCTGGCAGTCAGGAGGCGGCTCGACAGTTTGAACCGCGAACGGAGAGAGAGTGTGTGTGAGAGAGAGAGAGAGAGCGAGCGAGAGAGAGTGTGTGTGTATGTATGTGTAGACACGGGTTTGTCCGGTTACGGCACGCAGGCGAGTGTTTTACAGTCACGGTTCAGATTCGGAGAGGAAATTAAGGAAAATACCGACGAAGAAGAGGAGGGGGGAAAAGAGAAGAAGAAGGTCGCGGCCTTTGGCGCTCAGTGAAACTTTAAGATGGAAAATTCATCCAGCAACAGCCGGTTTCGGTCCGCAATGTTCAACCACGGTGAGTCCTCACATCCGACACTGAATGCGGAGATGCTCGTCTACTTTCTGAATAGGACCTACCTAAGAAAAAATAAATAAATAATCACATGTCCTTCCTTTTAAACTGTATTATTGTTATAATTTAATCAGTTAAACACACAAATCGTCACAATCTTCATCATCTCAGGTCTGTTTGGCTACAGCTCCGGGTTGATATAAGTGCAGGTTTTATTTTTATGGGTCTACTCAGACAGACAGACAGGACAGGATTGAGGGTACACTTCGTCCCGCTGAATGAAAAATCCTTGGAAAGCCTGGCAGCAGCCTGAGCTCCACACGGGACGACAGCACTGTAATTCTGCAGCTAAAGACTCACCACACCGAACTATTTCTGGACCACGCAGATCTGCAGCCAGCTCCATAAATATTTGGACAGTGACACTGGTTTTTTTTTGCTTTTTTGTGTTGTTTTTTTTTAATCTCTGTAATCTGCTGTGTTTAGCATCAAAGGATTGAAATGAGCCTTTACGAGGTGATTAAAATGGAGACATTTGGCTTTAATTCAAGAGGTTTAACAAAACTCTGGAAGGGGGCTATAGACATCAAGTGCAGAGTTTCCCCCCCATCCAGCTGCCTTCACTTGACTGGTAATTAGTGTAGCTATGTGCCCTGAAAGGGTTAATGCAGATAAGGACCACAGCTTCATTGTGTCATTATAAAACCAGTGTGGTGAAGTACAGAGGCAAAATGACTGTACTGGGGAGATGGATGGAGAGCTTGGAGTGTATATTACACCATCACCATAAAACAAGAAGTTCTGGTTCAGTTTGTTGCCTCAGATCGCTTTTCACTGGCACCTTTATGTTTTTCTTTCTCCTTTGGATGTTGTGGAACGGCATTTGACAGCCCAAAACCAAACATTGGGCTCCACTGTTGGGTTTTTCTAAGCCAAGATATTTGTAAAGTTTTTGTTTTTTTCAGTGGTACTTTAGAAATTTGTGGACACATTGTGTTCTCTTGACATCAAATAGATTTGGTTCCCTGTTGTAAACAGTTTGAATCTCACCTGTATCTTATCGTGTCGGTGTGGGTACAGAGAGTAGTTTATTGGGCGCAGTGATCTTGTGATGTGAAGTACCGGAGGCTGCATTTGAGCTGAAACATTCCCCTCATTGAAACAGCTGCCCTGTGGTGTACTGTAT